CCTATAAAAAAGCTTGCATTTAATCCCTGAATATCTACCCCGTACAGAAATTAACTCTACTTTCTCAGCAGCTATTTATGGCGAGACAACAAATTCCGCAAATTGGGAAACTGAGCGTCGAGGACGATTTTTTGACGGCAGAACAACGAGAAAGCGTGAACGGAGGGAGAGGGGGGACGAAAGCGACCTTGAACGTTCCGAGCGACGAACCCATTTCTTATGATTTCAGCAGCTGTTTTTACGTCACAAATCCAAGATTTCGGCTGCCCCGACCCGATGAGACGCGTGTGTGACTGTGGAGAGGGATTTCTCTCAAGGATGAGTCACATCTTGAGGTGACACATGTTTTGCATGCTGAAAGTGGAAAAGGAACTCAAAATAATATAAAGATTCCTCAAGTACTACCTTGCAACCCTTACTCCACAACTGTGCGCTGGACTGATTATAAAGAGCACGGTACATGATATCACAAATTGGACTGACATTTCACCCTGCTAGATTCAGTGGCGAATGATAGGAGAACGTCATCTGCTGCGCGGCGAGAAATTATACTCATTTCGACGAGAAAAATCGTTTTTTTACAGTCTCTTTTTACAGTCTCTTATCTTGCTGAGGAATTTATTCGTACTAGGAAGTGCCGTAAAGCACACAGTAAAATTTCTTGCGCGCAATTAGGTTTCTTTGTTACAGTTTTTTGTTCTTTGTTTTTTTTAATTATAACAGCCATAGAAGTATTTGTGGTAACGAGGAAACAGTCACTGTGACTAAGAGACTCTGGTTGTCAAAAATCAAATTGGAAAACTATTCTAAATTCTTGTTGTCAGGGTGTCTACTAAAATAGGTTGGCGTTGGCCAAAAATCATTTCTTTCACATTACTTTTTCAGTCCATTGCCAAGAAATTTAGTATATCCTCAACAGATGAATCCAGTGCTTTTTCAGTACCTTCATTTGACGAAATTCGAAAAATTTCAAAAATTCGAATTTCTTGATCAAATTGCAAGAAAGAGGAAAAAAATTTCGGACCTTCTTACGAATTTCCGCACTTTTTCAGTACTTCCGGACCGCCCTTAAAAAATCAGTACTATTTCCGGACTTTCCGGAAATTCCAGACTTGTAGACACCCTACGTACCAAATTCAATATTCCAAATGAGTCTAGGGAGTCGAGCAAAGGTAACGTGCGAAACTGAACGCGATCCGATGGATTCCGAAGGGTCGATTCTATCCGATTGCAGACAGGCATTTCGAATGGATCCGAGTGCGGCTGCTAAAAATGCATGCAAGTTGAGCGATGCACATGCCAGGCAGAACAAACACGCCAAGCGCCGCCGCGACGCCTGCGACGCGGCCGACGGACGCTATCACGTAACGCACCGCGCCCGCGTGAAAAAACTCAAGAGAAGCGCGGTATCGCCCCGCGTACGCCCAAGAATTCACCGTGCTACAACGTTGCCCGCCGGACAGAAAATAACAAAATCTCATTACTCGATAACATCCCTTAAGATCATTGCGCTGACGTAACTTTGATGTCGTCCTTCGGTGGCAGAGGTCTGCCCGAGAAGTGATTGATCAAGGGGATTTGGAGCTCTTAAATCCCAAAATCTGTAGACTTTCATAGAATCTAAGATGCGCTTCACTCCGAAGCCTTATTTGCCCCTAAAAACTGAAGGGGTATGTGTGTGGAGTGCTGAGCAGAATTTTCTCTTTTTGCGAGGTTCACTCTCCACCAAAAATGTTTGCAATACACTTTGCATTGGCTCATCGTGACCCGTTGTGACAGCATCAAGCGTGAATTTTTTTCCTATACTTGGGAATTACGCTCCCAGGCCGGTGGCCAATCAACCCTATAGGAGGACATTAATTACCATTATACAATGACCATCGATTGGCTGCTTCTCCGAGTCATACTTTGATAATTAAAAAAATAGGGATTATTTACCTTTCGATAGCCACAAAAATGATGGAATCGGCCAAGTAAATATCATAACTAGAACGAAAGTTCACCAGAAACAACGATTATTGGAGTAGGGGAGCTTTAACATGATATTGTGTCCAGATTCATGTTTTTTGGAGAAAAGGGTATGTGGTCAGCGTTTCATACGAGGGACAAGTCGGCAGATGATACCAGTGGCGTGGCTGTTGTGTTTTGCGATATATCGATTGTTCTGCCATTTAAACCTATAGAAAAGGATCGATAAACACGGTGTTCGCAGCGAACACCTTAATAATCGATTCTTTACCATGGATTTAAATGGCAGAACAATCGATAAATTGCAATTCACGCCACGCCACTGGATGATACCTACTATTCTTCCCTATTAACCTTGTTTTGTCCTAATGACTATCGACTGATCTCATACGTCCCAATTCTTCTTCATCCACGCTCCAAACCACAGTGGCCCCCCGAATTTCGGGTGACTTGCGACACCGCGCGCGGGAGGCTCCGCCAAGTCGCGTACGAGTATTCCTTGTTCGCGCTTCGTATCGTGCGCTCGAACGTGAAATTTTTCGAGGAGCCAACCCGAGGGACACGGGCATGGTAGTGGAACCAGTTTATCATTCACCTCAGAAAGTAAATCAGTCGTGCAGCTAGGCTAACGGTAACCCGACGCAAACTGTTTAAAAAAACCAGGAGCGAGCTTGTCGATCCTCGGGGTACAGGACTGGCACCACCACTAATTGGTTATACTAATGAAAGAAATTGACGCTTCCAAAAGACCTACCCGTCCCCCTCTCCCGCCCTGTTTAAGACCGTCAGATAATTTTTGGGTTACTGCAGCTGAGCTACTAGTGGATTTTTTATTATTTGTTGGACATAAATCCCATCCCTAGTACTTTTTTGACGTACAGACCCCGAGAAATCACTGCTCAGAGCGACACTTTAATGCAATTTGTGACTGAAATTGTTCGAAACTTCCTGGAGTGGACATGGGTACTTAGGAGGCCATGAAACCCTGGAAACAGTAGAGACTTAATCCTGAAATTACGAATAGGGGGGAGGGGGAGGGGGGTTTGTACGGACAACTATCACGAGTCAAACAGTGTAATTCCTTTAAGAATTTTCGATTACTGGTTGCGAGAAGAATTTTCTTTTTGTGTGGCATCTTGTGATGTAGTGGTTGTAGCGCTTTTTCTATGATCGGGAGATCCCGGGTTCGATTCCCGGCCAAGTAACCCGAGTTTGATAGTCTCAAACAACGGTTACCTGGGGTTGACTTGATTGGAGACTGAGGGGGTTGGGACTTTAGGGACTGTAAGCGTAAGATCCCCCCCAGGAATATCTGAAGTAATCAAAAAAAAATGTACGTTTAGTCTTCGACACCGTTCTGAAGTGATGATAAATTCTAACTTTTCACATGCCTAGCCTAGCGTGTACTTAAATCACGCGACCGAAGGTTTCAGATTGCAAGACACGAGACTCGAAATAACATCCAAGGAGTTAGACTTTGCCAAACCGAGAAATCGAGAGCAATAACTGAGCCGAGACTTCCCGATTAGCGATCGGCCACTTCCGGGCTGCTCGGTCCGCGGAGAGGTCCCCATCGGAAAGAGCGGGAGACACGGAGGAGCACTGGGTGCTGGCCTCATCTCTGATTGAATTAAAGTGGAATTTATGAGGGATTCAACTGATAAACGCGGAGAGGAGGGGAAGGAGAGGGGTCCGGATTAAATCTCAGGGATATAAACGAAGTAAGTGGACGTCTCCCCGTTGTCATGCGGGCGTCGTAAAAGACTCGATGAGAAAGAAATTTAAAAAGACTTATTCGATAGAAAAATATTATTTTCCATTGCACTGTATTTGGTTTTTTCCTTTGCTTCGCAGTAACAGCACCAATTGGATTGCAGTACCTACCTACCGTAAAAGTCTTCCTCGTGCGGGCAAGATTTTCAGGCGAGATATAAAAGGGCAAAGATGGGGAATTCCTCTTTTTGAAAAAATGCTGAGCATCATTATTTATTTCTACAATAAAATATTTTAACTAAATTTAAAGTTTTTCTCGCGGGTCATGATAATCAAGTTTAATACTTATTACTTGTACGTTACTTTTACGTTACTTATTATTACATGTATCGAAGGTTGTGGGCTAAAAGTCTTATAAACTTGGCATCAGAGTGAAATAAAGTGTCCTGCGGATGCACTTTAGTCTCCAGTCTTTGCGGACGTGCGTGTATACACTTATTCAACGCAGTCGGCCGGCCGACCGACCGATCCAAAGCTCAATCATGAGTTGGTCAATGAACGTTGCCAACTACTGAAATATGTGAATGCTCGGATTGCATGTGAAGCAGACCCTCGTTGAGAAAGTTTATCACCTCTACTTATTATGCCCGTGCAGAAAAACTTGCTACTGGCCCCTCTCATATTGAAAAAGCAAGACATCACCCCTTCTGAGGGCAAACAAATGCATTGATCGTCCCTAAACTGCATCATTCTGAAACAGGGATCGCCATCGGGATCTCCCCGGGATTAGGGAACCCCCCATCGCACGTACTAGATGTACGGAACCCTAGAACCTCTTGCCCCGCCAAGTCTACATATGATCGTATCACTTAACTGAAGTCAAATGATCATAAATCTCAACTCGCAACCATCTTATGTTTCTTCTCCATGGCTTGGTATATGAACTAAACATCTCGGTCGATCCTTTGTCACCATTGTCCACTAAGGACATTAACACTCCACTAATCAGGGTTGCCCCAGATTTTGGAATGTTAAATTCCCCGACATTTCCCTGATTTTTCTGGCACATGTTGGTGAAAATTCCCTGACAATTGAACAAACTTCAGATTGTTAAAAATACATGTGTCATTACAAATAGTATTCAGGCAAAATGTTGTTTGAAACGTCAAACCCACTCGAGAAAGCAAATAAAGGTGATTTGACGATGGTTCCCTGACATTTTAGTCATTTTCCCTAAAATTTCCAGGTTTTCCCTGACATTTCCCGGCTTTCTCGGTAATCCCTGAACTACATAAACAGGAGACAATTTGTGTACTCACCATTTTCCGAGACGGGAGCGGGTGTGCTGCGGGGGTAGAGATGACCATCCGGAACGCGAAGGGCAGCTGCCGAGACGGGGCGGAGGAAGGAGGTGAGGGAGTGGCGGCGCCTCCCGGGGGGCGGGAGCGTGGCCGTGTTCACGTAGCGCGGGGTGGGGCCGGGCTCGAGGAAGGGCGGCGGGGGCTCGGAAGGGGCGGCGGCGCCCGTGCAGAGGACCATGTCGCCGCCCTGGAAGTCGCCCTTGCCGTTGCCGCGCTTGGGCGACTCGCACGGGGCCAGGTCGGAAGGGCGCGGGTTGCCGAGCACGAGGAGTCGCGTGTCGTCCGCATTGGCCGACAAAGAGCGCAGCAGCGATCGGTTGCGTCGATCGCGGTCGCCCGGGTGCAGCGAGGGCGTCGAGCAACCCTTCCGCTTCTTCAGGGAATTGGTCAGCGCCGCCGGTAGCGTCGACTTGTCTTTCGGCGCCGGCTTGAAAGTCGTGTGGGTGAAGTAGCAAGGGTTATCTGGAACAAGAAGAAAATAAAGGTATCATTAAATCGGCACCGGAAAAAATGGACTGTTTTTTTTACGACGAGGAGGGGCTCCTAGCATACTGCCGTCCTACGAAAAAACGCTAAATGAGCCTTTAGGCGTTGCCAAATTTCTTGATTTTATGAATATTTCTCTTCCAATTTTTCAGATAACTTTGTTCGAAATTTCACTTAAAGGTCTTCAAAATTTCGAAGGAAAATATGCGCAAGTTTCTTCCATAATTAGCATTTTATCGACGGAATTTTGGCAACTCTCGAATGTTCATACGGCGTTTTTCCTTAGCACGGCAGCATAGCATTGCTACTAAAATAATGTAAGAAATCTTTGGTAAAGGAATCTATACGGCTTGCAGGAGGAGCTGATTTCTTTCTAAACAACGCGACGGATCTATTCGAACTTGTGCTATGCATTTTTCCCAAAATGAGCTCTGAACTTCCCTCATTATTCTGCGAAAATAATTTGCGACGGAAAAAAATAGGATGGTCGTCAAAATCAGCGACTGGTTAAAATTACCCCAGCTACCGCGGTAAAGGACGCAACTAACCCGGTAGTTATAGCAACTGCAATGGTAGTTGCTTTAACAAACCGAGAATTACCGTGAGTTTTGATAAGAACCGGGGCAGTTGTGTCTTCTACCACGCGGTAATAATCTTTATTAACGCACGTTAGTTGGACATTTTATACCAGAAGCTAGTTGTGGCGACTATCTTACTTTTTCCCGTGTTGCTGACTATCGTTTAATCTAATGCATATTTTTGGATCTCCAATTCCTACATTTCCTGTACGTATTATTCTCGGTTCCAATGCGGTGTGTTATTCCATTTGTTATCGCTTAATTTTGCCGGAAGTGGAATGAATAGTCGTATATTTGCAGAAAAAAAAAGAAGAAAAAAAAAAACGAATTGAGCATTGAACCCGAGGGCAAATGCACCGTGCGGGTTAAAAATAAGTCGGAACTCGTACAATGAACGATAGACCAAATAAAAGGTAAACCATTAAAAATAGACGCGTAAACGTAAGCATAAACTGAACTCCTGGGGAAACAGAGAGGCGAGCAGCTAGTTTAAAGCTTAAACGCGCTGTAATTGTTTACACGATTGAACGGAGTCAGAGCTGGGGGATAGCCCATTGCCGCCCACCCCACACTCCACAGCAGCCGTGGCGTGGCATGCGTTGCGAAAAATCGACTGATCTACCAATAGAACCTATGGAAAAAGATCGATAAACAGGGTGTTCGCAACGAGAACCTTAATAATCGATACTTTATCATGCCTCCAAATGGAGAAATATCGAATCGATCATTCACGCTACGCCACTGCTGCACCCACAGTAGTGCCACATTATCAACGCGCCTAGCATTTAAGCTGAGTTTCGATACGCGACACAATTTCTATTTACTTCCAATCCAGGTGCTTATACATTGGGATGGCGTGTACAGAGACAACACGGAGGCTTAGGTCCCGCACTAAAAATCTCAGCGGAGTAATCGGGTGAAGAAGTTAAATTCTGAGGTCAATTTAAATTCTTACTACTGCTTTCAATTACTCAGATATGAGCCCAAAGATGGGGCTACATTTTAGCTTTTGCAACCTATCTCAAGGTCAATATAAAAATATTTGTTCTGCGGGGAGAATCGAGTGAGAGTTACTGGACGTCTAGCTGCGATGGTCGTTAAAAACACAAAGATTACGATGAAAGTCACTCGTAAACGTCCATAGACGTCACGCTTAACTTCAGTGTATGATACAAATATTTCAACTCCTGAGCCGCTCAAATTGCATATACATCGAGTTGAAGGCGAACTTGCTTCCTCATTCCCAATTTCAATTATTCGGATATGAGCGCAAGGTCGAGGCTACATTCTATAGAGACGATTGTACTGAATCCGATGTTTTAAGTGTGATGGTGCCGTACAGGTTACCAAAAGATCATGTCCAAATACGTGAACAGCGTGAACTCTCAGAACTTGAGACTATCTACGAGCTCTAGGCTTCGATGAGGAAAAATTAAGTAATGAACAAAGATTTATGAAATTAAAAAGAAATACAAATTAATAAACTCTTGGAATATGAAAGGTAAGATTAGAGACGCTTTAATTATGGCGTTACGATGCTCACGGCTATACGCCACAAGGAAGTGTTGTACGGGTCCATGCGGAAAGCAGTCTCGGAAACAGCCAGCTGCACACATCGAGGGATTTCACTTCACGGCTCACATATTTGTGTAGGGTTCGTTCCTAAACAATTTCAACAGCCCACGCGCCCGCAATACATAAACCAAACCCATACCTCCGCCATGCTCTTCTTGGATGATTCTCCAGAGAGCGGGACTCCATAGCGTACACATTCGTTGCTTATGAATTTAGCAAAAGCATTCGCTATTCCCGATAGCTTTGCCTAGAATGTATAAGGCGTCTGCGTCTCCTCTCACGTTTGAAAACGTAAAGACCAAGAGTAGATTTATTGGGTCAAAGCCGGCACCTCGAACCTTGGAGCATCTAAACCGACTCGGGTTTGAGTCAATCACAACTCAGTTTCCGGATTGAATCAAGGACTATTGGACAAGACGCGAATTCAAGTAATTAAGAATGGAGATTTTTGCACGCCAATGTTTAATGTTTCATCTGAGAGTGCTCAAGGAGCTAATTTCACAGTATTTTTTTACAATTTTTTTCTGATATGGGATAGAGTAAAAAACTAGATTTAAAATTGGAAAAAAGCACCATCTAGTAAAATTATAGTGGCATTTCCCGTTTCAACACGTGTACTTTAGCAGATCGAGTCAGGGCCGGATTAAGGGGGTGGCCACATGGGCCACGGCCCATGGCGACAAAATGTAGGGGGCGGCAAATTTTGCAACCTTTTTGAATGTAGGTAGCAAAAAAAGAGAGAGAAAATCGGATTCAGAAAATAAATTACAAACGAGAAAAGGCGACAAAATCTCTCATTTCTTGAGAGTGAAAGAATAGTAATTTCTAATTTTGTCGTCTTTCGGTGATACAAGAGACAACACTAATTAGTCGAGTTAAGAGAGAAACCTAACACGCAATTTGACCTGGAACGGAGCGGTGCGGCGGTCGGCATGAAACGCATAGCGCCTACAAGACTGCATGAATACTTTACGCATCGCGTCAAACACACTGCGGTCAGCAGCAGTCGGCCTGAAACGCATAGCGCCTACAAGACTGCATGAATACTTCACGCATTGCGCCAAACAGTGTGGTCAGCAGCGGTCGGCGTGAAACGCATAGCGCCTACAAGACTGCATGAATACTTCACGCATTGCGCCAACATAGTGCGGTCGGGCAGAGGCGGAAGTTAAAATAATGTTTGTTCTTTCATAATTTTTTCGTTCGTTTTTTATAAATGGAAGGCCTTTTCCAAACAGGGATGGATTTATGGAACTGAACTTTTGTTAGTGTTGACAGGGCTTTCACATGTGGCCAACACGAGTAAACGCGTCTTATACACCCCTCCTCCACCGGCACGTTCACTTGATGGTTTTTATAGATCGTATTCGACAGTCACACAGGTGGGATTATATTGATATCGATTGGTTAAATATGTAACCACAGCCTCACAAGTCAATTTAGAAATCTGAGGTAACGGGTCTTATGTGATCGAATTTTTATTCTCTCGAGTACCAAATGGCAATGAAAAGTGAAATTGTTGGGAATTTTATCATTTTCAGCTTTTCCGAATTAAATCCTAAAATTTTTGTTTGAGGTTATGTTCTATTGTTTTGAGCCAAACGATACATCGAACCACTGTCGAATACGATCTATTGATGTTTCAAAACAAATGAGAAGGGGACGGAAAAATACAGGCGGCCCATGGGCGGCAAGTAGGTAAATTCGGCTCTGGATCGAGTTATTTTGTCATATCTCCTCTATAATAATTGTTCAATATACAAGCCAATTATATTCTTGTGCCCAATTTACTTAAACGTTTTTTCTTAAACATGAAATTCGACAAATTTCAAAAACCTAAAAATTCTGCTATCAAGCAATTGAAGCGAAATTGGACGTAGAAAACATTTCATGAGACGCTTGAATTCGTACAGACCTAGACTAATGGTTCATTCAGTTTTCAATTATTGACGCGCTCGCATTTTGGCACTTTGTACAACGTCCGCGATTCAAATTTTAGAAACTCGAGAAAGATAGTGAGACATCGGGTATTTTCGAAGGATTCTACGTTCACGTATTCACGAGAGCGAGGCGGACAATTTCTTCGAGGGCAAAAAATCGACGCTTCGCGTCGCAAGGCGCAGCGGCTCCCAGGAGCTTTTACCCTCGGCGACCTAGCGCTTGTTCAGCTACACAAGAGGCGAAATTATTAAACCGTACTTTCGCATCTACGAACGTGTTTTGTTGCATTAAGGGGTTCCGAAATGACCCTCCCGAGGATCCGCAGCTTCGGCAAAAAAGTACATACGTCTCTGGGAGAGGCGAAGAGGGAGGTTAAAATAACTGGATGTTGCAGTGAGAATGGGGCTTTAGACTACGCAAAACAAGAGCTCTCCGTTGCATGTTTCATCTTCAAAATTGGACGAGGGATGTGAATTACAAGGCGAGAAGCTCAGAGTAGAGGAAACCCCGTCTTAAAGATATGAATTTGAGAAGATAATTAGTTAGTAAACAACTCCAGAATTTTAATTTTACATGCTATTCCTGGGCAAGGTTTGTGATCAACATACGATGCAAAACTCGAATAAATAATTATTGCTGTAGGGAGGATGTTTCCTGGCCTATCTCGAAAATTGAAGGCGAAATGGTAAAAACCACAACTTCGAAATCTCTTGGGTCATGCTGCTTCATCTGATACTCATTGTTCGTCACAAAACGTCACTGCTATGTCTTTCATCTTTTGGCCCTCATCAATCCGTACAGACTTGACGTGTTAAATAGGTTATAGGAAAATTCTAAGCTACCCCTATGAATGTCGAGGAGATATAGGATAGATTTCCTCCA